GCTTTGAAGAGGAACAGCCGTCGAACTGATATTTAAGGCGGAATGACTGATTCGCAGCATCTGGACGGTCCACCTTAAAAGCTGCTGGCAGCTCCTGTTTAGAGGATTCAGGATTTTTTCCTTTTGTCTGAACTTTATAAAATAAAATGATGCAAACATTTGCTAAAAGTTACCAAAAGCAGAAGCACTGCTCATTCCTCTGTAGTTCATCTCACCGTGACCTTTGACCTGCCGACGATATCCCAGCGTTCCTTGTTCCTTTTGTTTGAGCAGAACACAGAAAATGACCAAAGCTGAGAAAATGTTCCACCTTAAGAAAAACAGGAGCTCTGACGGCCGTCTCTTCTTTGTTGGTGTTTTTTTAGGAGAAGGCTCTGATTGCTGCTCAGCTGGATAACGCCATCGAGAAGGAGCTGCTGGAGCGACTTAAACAGGGAACGGTACGACGCCAACGCGGCCGCTGCTCGCACGCCAAGGACGATCGTGCGGTTTAACTCACGGTCTATGTTTGTGTTTCAGTACGGAGACATCTACAACTTCCCCGTGCACGCCTTCGACCGAGCGCTGGAGCAGCAGGACCAGGAGAGCGAGTCAGAGGAGGAAGAAGAGGAGGAGGAGGAGGAGGACGACGAGGTGATTGAGGCAGCTGTTACTACACCAGCTGCTGAACATGTTTGTAAAACTTTATTCTGAAAGGATGTCGTGTGTGTGTGCAGGACGTCGGGCAGAGAGAGTTCGTAGCAGAAGAAGAAGTGGAGGAGAGCGACCTGAGCGACTTCGAGGTAACTCTTCTCTCTAGTGACCAGCAGGGGGCGACTGAAGTCTGATGAACTGCTTTCAGGTCGGACTGAATAAAACAGGAAGTTGAGTCGGAGAGGAGCAGGAAGTCAGAATCCAGAGACGCGTTAACGCAGTTTTGTCCTTTCAGACGTCGATCGCCGCTCTGCTGGCGTGATCTTTAAATGCGATTGTTTGACTGTTACACTAACTGGACTTCCTCCTTGCAGGACATGAACGGGCTGAAGACGAGCAGCGATGAGGAGGAGCAGGACGCGTCCAGCGAGGAGGAAGAAGAGGAGATGGAGGTGCAGACGAAGGCTTCGCGGTCTAAAGGCAAATCTCCGGCGAACGGCTCGGCGGCGAGGAAGAAGCGAGCGTACGTGGAGATCGAGTACGAGCAGGAGACAGAGCCCGCCTCCAAGAGCAGAGCCACGTAGTGACGCTGTGCCCTCGAAGCAAACTCTGACTGCCGAGGACACGCCCCCTCGCTCCCTCACCGTGTGTTACCACGGCAACATTACATAGCTGAGGGGATTGTCCGACATGTTTAAAGTCTCGCTCGGCTGGAAGTCATGTGACCAGCACACAAAGACACTGATAGGCCCGCAGCTGATCACAATATTGATTAATTGGCCTTTGATAATCAAACAGCCTGATCAGAATGAATTTTCCCGTTTCACACTTTAAAGACGAATCCATGACTCGCTGCACGTGTGATCACATGACTGCTGCTTTCACTTTAAACATGAGCAGGAAGTGGAGCCGTAACCAGAACATTACGTGAGGAAGCACCCACAGTGACGCGAATGACGACTTTTCTGCTCGCCGCGCTAACGGAGACGAGACGGACGTGAATGTTTTTCTAAACCCTGTAAACATTTTTATGTTTGAAATAAAAATAAACTTGGAAAAAATGTGAACTTTGAATGCAGAGAATTTTAGTTGTAAGTGAATTTAATGTAAACTGAGAAAAGTCCAAAGCACTGCCCTCTGCAGGCAGACAGAAGAATTACAGTTGAACACAAGAGCAGTGAGTCATCGGCGTATATACAGCATATATATAGTTTATTTACAAAGAACTGCGTCTCCACAGTTGGACAGACAGCTTCAGCTGAAGAGAATCATTGCAAACAATCAAAAAAATCAGAATAAGCTTTTTTAATTTTAGCAGATTTCTGAAAAATGAACAGACAGAAAAACAGCGACTCCATCACCTGATCTCCACCTCACTGTTATAGTTGCACATGCTTCAGCCGAACAGCAGCGCCTCCCTCAGGCTGATCACACACGAAGAAATAAAAGGACGTCAGCTGTAGTTTAACCTGATTTCGCTGCATCGCCTTCTCATTAATAGAAATTAAGACTGAACAGCGTAACGACCGAGGCCATCCCATAAACATTTTCCCATTTTGCATCAGAAGTCTTGTGTAATAGTTTTGGATGCTGAGCGCTTTGGCGAGAGAAGCTGAAGGCGCCGATCCTGGCGACGCCTCACAGACTTTTTGGTCACGGCAGACTAAAAACAAACTTGGGGTCGATCAGGAAAAAACAAACACAAGACGCCTGAAACGCTTCGTGTTTGTTTTCACCGCATAAAGGTTTTATTGTTAAATCACTCATCATAGTTGGAGCGCGCTGCTGTCCACCAATCAGACGACAGCAGAGGGTAAAGTCACATGATCGTGCCCTGTTCAGACAGATGTGGACGCGTCACACTCAGATGCTGAGGTGACGTTTTTACTTCATATAACGTGACCTCGGCGCGAGCAGTGACACGATGACCATACGGCGCCCCGGAGGCGACAAAATTCACCAATTAAGAGATCTGCTGAGCGACGCCATGTTAAACCTACACAAACTGGATAATTGATCATTTCTTTTGTTTTCCTGGGTTTAACCAGTCGACTTTTTCTCGGTCATCGTTCACTTTAATACTACAGACAAAAATTCTCAGAAGGTTTTAAAATTTACGTCATATTTTCCAATTTCCCCAAAAAATAAAGTGCAACAAAACTGTAGGAATGTAGAAATACACAGCAGGTGATTTACATGCAGTAAAGGTAATTAAAACATTAGTGTAATCATTTCAGGAACGATCAAAGATCCTTTTTGTTAATTTCTGTCAAAAAGTTCCAAAATTTTAAATTTTAATAAAATGTGCAAAAACCTTCATGTTGAAGAGACTCCAGCTCAGCCAGCCGTACTGTGTGTAATACCACTTTTTACCACAGGATGGAGCCGTCGCCCACGCCTGGTTTAAGGTTAAACGGCAGCACACCTGCTGGTGAAACACTCCCCCCTGGTGGTGAAACTTTTAATGGCTTATGGACCTTCAACTCCATCTCTCCGGGTTTTCTCACTTCTGGGACTCAAAGGAAACATTTCTCGGGTATTTTGTTAATTTTAGTGTAAATAAGCAGAAATGCAGGTAGACTAATTTCAGGTTAACTGATCCATTTTAAAACTCTAAATGAAAAAGCTGCTCCCTCCCATTAGTGCTCTCAGACCTTGGTGGTTTAAAAGTGTGAAATGAAATCTGGCAGAGCTTCACTCGGAGCTTTGGGAAGCTTTTAGTGCAGGAATGATTTTTCAAAGAGGAAAACAGTAGATCCAGAAACCACGAAGGCATCATCATCACAAAGCAAATTCTCCCTCAGAGACGCTCGCTGGTGTCTACGTGACGTCTCCACAGCGGCGCGGCGGAAACCAGAGAAAGCACAGTGATAAAGTGCAATCCTGGCTCAACAATGCAAACACAATGGCCACAAGGGGGAGCTGTGGGAACATCCTGTATTTATTTGGTTAAAACCAAAAACAGAAACAAGAAAATAATAAAGGCATTTAATAAAAATCCATCCTGAACTGATCCGGCGAGGCCGGAGAGACGCTCGGCTTCTTCATCCCTCACAAAGCGACCGAGACTCACATCAGTTCCAGACTTCATAAAGGGAAAGGGTGGCTGTGTGGGTGGAGCTGCAGGCGCAGACCGTCTCATCCGATGGTTTCTAACAGACCTTCTGACCTCTTTCCTGTCACTGTTTTCCTCCCTTGGAGCTGGGAGAAGGGAACTTAGTCATTTTCATGCATTCAGACGATGCATTCGAATGACTTTCATACTACACAGCAGTGGTGAAAACACCTGGCAGCTGTACTGGCGTCGTGCAGACAGAAAGAGCCAATAAAAGCTAAAACGCCGTCACGACTCGATGTTCAGGAGCTCCTTTCTCTTCGCTCTCTCAGCTTCTGCTTCCTATAATAACAGAGGTGGATTTCTGCAGGAGCTCAGAGGCTCCTTCAGTCAGTTTGCAGCTTCACAGCGCTGAGGTGCCCTCTTTGGTCCTGAAGGTGACAAACGTCCGCTGGCCCGCGCTCCGGCTCTGTCTACAAGCTCACAACGTTTCAGCTGAACATCCCAGGTGAGCCGAGATATCCGGGCAGAGCGAACCGAGGGATGGAGTTTGAACGTAAGTCAGAATTGGGAACCTGGACGAGTCTGCTTATGTTGAATTTCATTTTGTCCCAATTTGGTTTTTGTTTGTCTGAATTTAAACGTTTTACTTGTGGGAGAAAAAAGGAAAGATGCTAAATCTGTGAAACCTTCACTTTAGTCTGGACTCAGTCCACGCCGCACGCCGGCCCGCCGTAGCTGACTGACAGAGTCCTCCGTGATCGCCAGCGTTCACCGTCACGTCCTGCTGCGGCGGTTTGTCTGGGTCGGACTGATCGATGGCGCTGATTGGTTTGTTGATAAGGAAGCAAACGTGGCGTACTCATGATGATCCTGATCGAGTCTGCAGGAGGTTTTAGGAGGAGGCTGAAGCATCCTCGATGGAGACGCGGTGGGGAGAGCGCCCAGTTTGGGGGAGTTCTCTGGTTTGAGATGAAAGCGTTGTGGTTCAGGCCAGATTGACGCTGTGCTCAGACTGGTTTTGGATGAGGTCGCCGCCTCGGTTGGTCCTGATCTGGGAGCCTTTCTGAGCCAGTTCACGCTTCTAGATTTGGTTTTCAGGATCGGGTCAGAGTTGATAAAGTCTCGAGCGGATGGAGGATTGCTGAATCTTGCTTTGGATTAGAAAACGGCGGGTGGACAGCGCCGATGATGAGTGTGGACTGGTTCTGGGTGTGAGTGTTAGTGCCCGGCGGAGTCCGTGTGTCGTACTTTCTGTTCAAGGTTAACAGCTGCAGCCTTCCTTTGCTGGCTGGTTGTCGGCGTTGGGGCGTCCCCCCTGCAGCGTCGAAGGTTTGTGCTGGACTCCCGACTCGGCGGCGTTCAGGTCCAGGCTGCCATCTTGAATGTTCTGGTAGATCCTCTTTGCTGCCTCCAGGAAGGCCTCCTCCACGTTCTCGCCTCTGCAGGAGAAGCAGAGGCCGAACGCGTCAGGACTTAATAAAACATCAGTCATCACAAACAGCCAAAAACACGTTCATGCACGTCACCGTTCGGTGAACGGGTTTCTGAATGAATCATAACCATCGAGCTGCCTCTCTAACACGCTGCACTTACGTCTTGGCGCTGGCCTCCAGAAACAGCAAACCTGAGAAACAGGAAGCAGAAATCAGAGAAATCAGCGAGTCTCCGTCTGCTGCTGAGCGTTTATCTGATCGTGCGAGCGTCTCACCGTTCTCCTCGGCAAACTGTTTGGCCTCCTCGTACGTCACGTCTCGCTGAGCCTCCAGGTCGGCCTTGTTGCCGATCAGAATAATCACCTACGACACGGAGACACGCAGACTGAGCGGCGACTCTTCAGCGTGTCACAGGTTAAAGGATGTTTACATCACAGCAGCTTAACAGCTGTTTGTTACCTGCGCGGCGTTACCGCCATAAACGTGAGCAGGGAAGTAATAACTGTTTACTTGTAGCTGCGGTCCAGCCAAGTCTGACTGTGCCGGGCCGCAGCTCCGGGTCACTTTAACCTTCAGACTCCATTTTGAAATCATTCTCTCTCCTGCCTGAAAAGAAGATTTAAAAGAGTCGCCACAGAAGTCTGCGTGGGCGCACTCACCGTGTTTGGGTTGGTCAAGTTCCTGGCGTCCGTCAGCCAGCTGCTCAGGTGATTGTAGGTACTTCTCCTGAACACACAAAAACAACAAAGTCAACACTCGCTGAACGTTTGTCTGACATTTAGTCCACAGCAGCGTCGACCGTCAGGGCGCCATCAGAGTCACCGCCTGGCAAATATTTAGTTTGGATGAGAATCCTACAAAGGAACCGGTTCTTGGTCGACCTGCTGCTTTCAAGTCTCTAAGATTTAAACATTACCGCCCACCATCAGCCAAGAGCGGGTGGAGGCCTCCATCAACAACCTCATCACATGAAACGTAACACTACTCTGAGTGCTTTCAAACGGACCGTCTACACCCTGCATCACACACGAGTGTGATCCACAGAAAATTCACTCACTGTTATTACAGCACAAAACACAACAAAAGTGGCTTCAGGGCAATTAATGTTTTAAGGTCGACCCTACGATAATACATACAGAGAAAAACCCAACAATCATATGACCCCCTATGAGCAGCACTTTGGCGACAGTGGGAAGGAAAAACTCCCTTTTAACAGGAAGAAACCTCCAACAGAACCAGGCTCAGGGAGGGGCGGCCATCTGCTGTGATTGGTTGGGGTGAGAGAAGGAAGACAGGATAAAGACATGCTGTGGAAGAGAGACAGAGGTTAATAACAGATATGATTCAATGCAGAGAGGTCTGTTAATACATAGTGAGTGAGAAAGGTGACTGGAAAGGAAAAACTCAATGCATCATGGGAATCCCCCGGCAGCCTACATCTATTGCAGCATAACTAAGGGAGGATTCAGGGTCACCTGGTCCAGCCCTAACTATATGCTTTAGCAAAAAGGAAAGTTTGAAGCCTAATCTTAAAAGTAGAGATAGTGTCTGTCTCCTGAATCCAAACTGGAAGCTGGTTCCACAGAAGAGGGGCCTGAAAACTGAAGGCTCTGCCTCCCATTCTACTTTTAAATACATGGACAGAGAGAGCTGGGTGTCATCTGCATAGCAGTGTAAATGTATGCTATGTCTTCTAATGATGCTGCCTAGGGGAAGCATGTATAATGTAAACAGAATTGGTCCTAGCACTGAACCCTGTGGAACTCCATAATTAACCTCAGTGTGTGAAGAGGACTCTCCATTTACATGCACAAACTGGAGTCTATTAGATAGATATGATACAAACCACTGCAGTGCAATACCTGTAATACCTACAGCATGTTCTAATCGCTCTAATAGGATATTATGGTCGACAGTATCGAACGCTGCACTGAGGTCTAGCAGGACAAGCACAGAGATGAGTCCACTGTCAGAGGCCATAAGAAGATCATTTGTAACCTTCACTAAAGCTGTTTCTGTGCTGTGATGAACTCTGAAACCTGACTGAAACTCTTCAAATAAACCATTCCTCTGCAGATGATCTGTTAGCTGTTTGACAACTACTCTTTCAAGGATGTTTCAGATCCACTAAAACAAAAAAGCTGAGCAGAGATAATGTTCAGTTCCTCATGCCTCAGTGCTCACTTCCTCCTGCACAGTGATATAGGTGGCGGATGTAGACTGTAGAAAGAAAATAGTTCCAACGTGAAGCCGCTCACCGGAGCGTCTGTGGATCACTTCCATTTTTATCAGTTTACTTTGTTTGTTTTAACTGATGTATTTAATCTAACATGACTTCACATACACATTCATCATTTATTATTCATCTAACGGTTCGACTTTTTCTACTTGGACAGAAACTCACATTCATTTCATGCATGTTTTGTTTTGTATGAAATGATCTTCACTGCATATCTGATTCATTTTGTTGGTTTTTGTCTTTTTATCAGTTTGTGATCACAAACAACGAACTGCTGAATTAGCAGCTCGACAGGACGACAACCAGAGTGTTACATTTATGGTGAACTGTCCCTTTAAGTAAACAGGACACAGATTTCTCCTCCTCCATCCACCCTCGCCTGCCTAGGTACCTGGTGATGTCGTAGACCATGAGGGCCCCGGCGGCCCCCCTGTAGTAGGACCTGGTGACGGCCCTGAACCGCTCCTGACCCGCCGTGTCCCAGATCTGCAGCTTCACCTTCTGCCCGTGGACCTCCATGATCCTCGTCCCGAACTCCACCCCGATGGTGTGAGGACAGTCTGCCATGACTGCAGCGTGCACACACACACACACACACACACACACACACACATGCACGCACACAGGAATTGGACGGGCAGTGGTCACCAACAGGTAAGTAAAGGTAAAAATGTTTGTGTTTGTCCCTGAGACATCGACAAACTGAATTTTATGAAACCATCCAGATAAAATCAAACACGAGTCGCTTTTTGTTTTTTTCCTAGCATAACAAACTGAATGCTAAAAGCTCATCTATTTACATTGTTCATCAATTCAAAGAAATCCTGTTAAATGTTTCCAAAGTTCGAGGTTTACGGTTACATCAAAATGAAGAAAAAAAATAAATCGATATTTATGAACTTGACACTTGATCATTATTAAGATATTTATATGATAAACTAGAGCCGTGCTGTTAAACAGCTGAGACGGATTCCTAATCAACAAACTTGACATTATTATAAAAAAGACTAAAAGTCAGCCTGAACTGATTTTCCGCTGCTTGCCTTTCAAAATAAAAGACCTAGAAACACAGGCTGTTCCACTTTGCCCCCTCACACCCAAACAGTGGTGGTAAATTTTAAATATCCATAACTCACAATTTCATCATACATGTATAACAACAATAAAAGACTATTCTATTCTATTCTTAAACTTCAGTAAACAAAGAGAAGAAGAAAAGCAGCACTCACACTTCTTCTCTGTGAACTGATGCAGCAGACACGACTTCCCGACTCCCATATCACCTGCAGACAGACAAACACAGGTGAGGTCGGCCACCAAGGGTGACAGTGATCAGGAAACACCCGGATGAGCGTTTTTCTCCCCGTGATTGAAGTGTCCCTGCTCATTCACCGTCCACAGTTTCACTCCTGGACTTTACCAGAGCAGCGCTGCATGAGTCACAGCTCAACATCGTCTTTATCTAATATCTGCACCCGCTGCAAACACTCCACATTTACCAGCGCCAGGTTCTGCACTTCTGCAAGCTTCCGGAGGCCTCCAATCAGAAGAGACCGGGCTTTAATTGAAGGAGGGAGTTTACTGATGTGAGCGGCAGCGGTCACGGATACAGAACGGTTATTATAAACGGACTCATGCAAAGCTGCTCTGGCAGAGCTGCGGGAGTAAACACAGGAGCTGCAGCTCGGGTCACTCACCGATGATGATGTATTTGAAGATGTAGGAGTAGTTGTAAGGTGCGGCTGTCATCGTGATCCTGCGGAGAGAAAACAAAGAATGTGTTTGGTTTAAACCGAGAACCTGAGCTCAAACACGGGGCTCCACCCTCGGTCTGAGCCCGGTCACAGTGATCCTCTGAGCTCGGTCGGAGCCTCCAAACACACCGAGTGAGACACAAACAGCTCAGAGAAGGAAGCAGCCGGCTGAGCTAGCAGAAGCTAACGCCGAGCCTAGCGTTAGCTTTAAACACCGTGACAGCCCTGCGGAGAGGAAGCTTTCATCCTCATCACACGTATGAAACGCTGACGGCTCAACCACAGGAACCCCCCGAGGAGTCCCCCGAGCCCTCCTGGAGCTAAGTGGCTAACAGCTGCACTGCTGTCTACGCCTTGCTAACAGCTAAACGCTAACGGCAGGAGGTCACTTTCTGAAGCTTTTACAGTAAAAACAACCGAATAATAAACCAATCACACAGGCGGCGTTACACGTCGCTGTGTTTTACCTTCAGTCCGGGTGTCTATCCGACCTGTAAAGCTGCTTAAAACGCTGGTTCGCCGGGTAGTTTTATCTAACTTGACGGGTCGCTTGCTGAGCCGTCAGGAAAATCTTCTACCTCTTCCGCGACTCTTCCTCATCAAGGAGAAAAGAGGTAGTATCGCGAGACTTACAGCTTCCTACTGCCGCCCAGCGGACGAGAAGGGGATTTAGACACACCCAACCGTCCCGTTTGTAACTTTATTTATTTACATTTTTCTTTTTCTTTTTCTTTTTTAAATAAGTGACCCAAATTAGTTAATAGAAGCTCTTGTTTCTATAGATATATGTTACCAAATTACTGTGACAATGAAAAACACTGAAAAATGAGACGATTGTCTGCAGGTTTGAAGTCAGAAACAGAAGGTTTCCTTTACCCTTTAACTCCTAATGGGGTTCACAGAGGTCATATGTAGTTATTTTGAAAATGTTTAACTGAAATAAATGAGCTTCTAATGTTGCAAGAAGGTCCTGAGTTCGGCTCCACCATCAGGCCGCGGTCTTTTTGTGTGGAGTTTGCATGTTCTGTCCGGGAACTCCGGCTTCCTCCCACATTCCAAAGACATGCAGTTAGTGGGGTTAGCAATTTAGTGGAAACACTAAATTGCCCATAGGTGTGAATGGTTGTCTTTCTCTTTGTGTTAGCCCCGTGACAGACTGGTGTCCACTCCAGTTTGTGTCCTGCCTCTCGGCCTACAACAGCTGGGATAGGCTCTACCACCCCCGCGACCCTGACAAGCAGAAGCTGCAGAGGATGGATTTTGTCGATACAGTTGGACAAATGAAAACATACATTATATTTATTGAAAACATAAACTTGGTTTAATATAAGTAAATTACAGGGTATTCTAAAGTAGAAGAATAACTTATATTTCTAAATAAAAAGAGGCTTGAGTAATTTTGTAATCCAGCTGCTCTCCCTCGATTTTCTGATAGCTGTGGAATTATTATTATTATTATTATTATTATTATTATTACTTTAGTTTGTGGAGCATCACTGAAGAAACCCTTAAAGCCAGAATATTAGCAGATATTTTTCTTCTTGTGTATTTTCTAACTGTGTTTGTGTACTGGATGATAACAGTGGGCACATTGTTAAAGTGACTTTGTATTTAAGGTTTCTCTGTGTTTTTGTGCATGCCCGTGCATAATGAGAGCGCTGGCCCGCCCTCTCTCTCCTCCCTCCTGTGCTGAGGTCACAGACGCGTTCAGACAGACTCGCCTGGCAGAACTCAAACTGCTTCTCACAGAGCAGATAGAGGGAGTTCAGGGAGGAGGAAACAGGAGGAAATCTGTTTGCCGTTTGATGTTGGATTCTTCAGCAGAGATATGAGCCTGAGGATCAGCAGACACTGAGACGACCGACATGGACAAACAGAAAGGTACCGTGACCCACAACAAGTCTTACAGATGTTTCAGGAATAACGACAGAGGCATAAAACTCATCCACACATGAAACCTGACGTTACCTGATATTTGTTTTTTATATTTAAAAATGTTTCACATGTATGAAATCATACACAGCATGCATGTTTCAGATGTAATCTGATTACAAATGGAGATTTACTTTGAAACTTTCCTTTAATGTGTTTAACATCCACGTATTCTTTTGTCTTTCATATCACGTGGAAAAAAATGTTAAAACTAATTGTAATAAAGTACTAACAAAGCACTCAGCAATTACCAGGGCCAAAACTTGCAGTTCCTCCAGTTTCCACCGGGGGCAGCAGCGAGTCGGTCCCCATAGACTCCCATGTTAAAACTTTACAGCAGTAATAAACACTTTTACAGCTCGATATAAACTGTTCAGTCTCTGTAGGTATATTTGTGGTGGGTTGTATAGGTCACCTGTAAAAGGTTTAAGGTTTGCATTATTAGGGGCGTGGCCTCTTTGACTGACAGGTGGATGGTGACGCAGGTGGCTGTAGCTGCTAGCTGTCTGCTAGCATCACCTGAACTGGACCTTTGGACCCTGTTTGTGCTGTTGGAGCCTTTCAGAGCATTTTAATGACATCATCAGACCAATAATACAGCTGCTGTGAAGTCACTGTAGTAACAGACCAATCCAGTAAGAGAAAGTTAGGGATTCTGACTCGATGTTACTTATTAGCAAGTATCTGAGCTAGCTAGCATTACCTGATATGCAGCTTTTATGTTTATTTCCATGTTTGTCTATCATATTAATATATATACGCTGATATTTTGGCTGCTGACTCATGTGACCACTAGAGGTCAGCTGTGAGTTGTTAGGAGTTGTACTATATTTATTATTTTGGGATGTTTTACTTTTGTAGTTATGAACAAATCAAACTAACCTCAGGCTTGTGTTGTATTGTGTATAAAATATTTAGATGGTGGTCATAGACTTGATTTCAAATGACTGGTTGATTAGATAGTTTAAATTCTCTGGGACAATCGTGGCTCAAGAGTTGGGAGGTCGCCTTGTAATCGGAGGGTTGCTGGTTCGAGCCCCGGCTCCGACAGTCTCGGTCGTTGTGTCCATGGGCAAGACACTTCACCTACTGCCTACCGGTGGCGCCAGTGTCCGGTAGCCTCGCCTCTGTCAGTGCGCCCCAGGGTGGCTGTGGCTACAATGTAGCTGCCATCACCAGTGTGTAAATGGGTGGATATGTAAAGCACTTTTGGGTCCTTAGGGACTAGTGAAGCGCTATACAAATACAGGCCATTTACCATAACAGTATCCATGTGAACGCAGCAGCTGTTTTTTACCCAATAAAATTTATGATTCTTCTACATCTATTAGTCACTTTTAATGTGGATTGTTTTCATTCTTGTTACTTTATTACTAAACTCTTTAAATACTCATCTTACAGCTTTTTACCTAATTTCATTGTGCATTGACAATAACAGTTCTAAGTTTGACCAATTTGGCCATTTACCATTAAAATCGGTATAAATAAACAGCAAAAAGCCATGCTGTTCTCTAACAGTTTAATTTATCTTCTGTATCATGTGAGAAACACTCTGTATATGAGCATGTATGTATTTGTGGCCAAAGCAGCTTTAAATCAAAGGAAGTGTTGACAGAAGGAAAAGGGCCATGATGCTGCTATAACTGGCTCCAGTTGAAAAGTTTAGAAAAAGCTGAAAGTGATTTAAGTTACTTTACCATGAAAACCAAACCCTAAAATTATCTGAAAGACAGGATTTCTCCTCACCGCCTGTGTGTGGGTACTTGCACAGCTATCTTTGTGGGGACCTATGTATTTATTGACTTTTTAAGGACCCTTCTGTGTTGTGAGGACGGACTCTTAAAGGCCCGTTTGTGGGTTTGGATTTAGTTTAAGGGTTCAGGTTAAAAAGAGGTTTAGGTTAGGGGGCCGTGAAAGGCCTCAGAAGGTCCTCACAATCACAGAAGTACAAACATGTGTGCAGCAGGGTGTGGAGCAGCTTTCTTTAATCTGGCTGGCAACAGAGCAGAAACATTTACATTACTGCGCTGCTGTTTCCTCAAACTGACCCGCTTCCAGCTGGAGGCTGACCACCTCACCACCAACCTGCTGCTAACTGGGACCAGTACCCACTTTGCATTTTTATTGTTGTTTGTAACAACAAGTAACTCTGATTAGACCAAACCAAAGTGATTTGAGAGATCAGTGTATCTAGATTACTCCCTGAAGTAACAGTACCACATGTAACGAGGTAAAAAATACTCAGCAACGTGTAAATGAGAAACTAAAGTATGTTCAGCTTCGTGTAACTGAAGTACAGGTTTTGCAGTAAATGCATCATCAGTATGTCCCCATTGGGGCTGTTTTATCTACGTTATATATAGTAGATGATGGTTTTTAAAATAGGGTCAGCCCCCCCAAGAGGTCACCAGGTCATGGGATGATTAATGGGAAACAAGTAAAATCTATTTCCTGTTTTCAGAGTTAATTTAAAGTTTCTTCTATAAATTTTGAGTAGGTCTTGTACCTCAGACTGAGCGCTACCAGGAGGAGCTGGGAAACATCAGAATACTCCTTTTAGCCAGCGATTAGCACATGAGGTCAGGAAACAATCTGACTTAATGGCAGAAAAATGTTAAAATTGTTGGTGTGGATACTTTAAAGACACAAACACAGAAAATCTAAACAGTCTATTAGCTCAGTCTCCAGAGAGCAGCAGCGGGAGGAGGAGGAGGAAGTGATGATGATGAGGTGGAGGAAGGAGGACAGACGAGGACAGATGGGTATCTCTGATAGTTGCGTTGCTAACATACCACCGGTGTGATAAAGACTCCACAGCAGCAGGAGGATGGATTGTGACACGTTCTCCCTTACAGAATAAAAATGATGTTTTCTACAGAAAAAACACGGACGTAACCATGTGACTTCACCCATGGGTTTCTGGGACTTTCCACAGCGTTTTGGTTGCTTCCATGTTGTGAAACGATTAGCGGTGGTGAAGCCTCACAGACAGCGATCAGCTCAGCAACACAGGGCCAAACAGTTTGTGTATCAGGCTGTAAACATGTTTATTTCTGCTGTCAGATTATAATGTGGACGTCTGTGGGACTGCCTCACTGCTGGTGCCCCTGCTGGACGTTAGAGGAACTGCATGTTCAGCCTCTGTGGGAGCTTCTTTCACAGTTTTTAAATGATGAATTAAGTTATTAGGAAAACTACCTCACCTATGTTAAAACATACCACGTATGTATTATTGTAGGGTCTACCTTACACTGTAAAGCACCTCGAGGTGACTGCTGTTGTGATTCAGCGCCGTATAAATAAAACTGAATTGAATTAACTGTGACAAAGTGATTCAGGTCATGGTCGTCTAATATTACATTTTATTTGATGACCTGAGAAACATAAAAGTGACAAATAGCAAAAAAAGAAACAGTAAAAATGCTTTTTCGCAGCGCTGTAAGCAGGTTTATGTAAGTGTAGATGATCTAATGCCCAACGACAGTCAATTATCGGGTATCAGAACCTGAACGAGCTCTGTGGTTCCAACGACTGCCCCCTGATTGGACAACGCTGGACAAACTGCTTCCTGGTTGGATGTAATTGCTGCATAATGTTGTTAGGATATCATTGTTATGATGGACACCATTGGTACTGTAGCGTGACCGGTTTCAGCTGGAAACGTGACTTTTAGTTTAAACTGCTGAAGCAGAATATTTTTACGATGGATGCGTCGCTGTGGTCAGTCGAGTTATTTGTTTTTGACGGATTCGTTTAGGTTATGGTTTAAGGATAAGTGTCCAGGAAATGAATGGAAGTTAATGTACTAATGATGTAAACAGGCCTGAAAGTGTGCACTGCAACATCAAAGCCCGAGACAGGAAGTAATGCAGATGGTCAGATAAGCAGCGTTCAGCAACACAAACTCTTGATTCTGCGTCCGTCCAGCAGCCGTCCGTCTCTGTCTCCTTTCTGCTGTTGTTGTTCGTCTTCTGGGTTTGTGGG